CTTCTAGTTTATGCAGAAATTATTGCAAAATTTTTGAGGTTAGTGTAATATTGTAGCTACTAGTATATACAACTAAGTCATCTGCATACAGACCTGCTTTCAAAGGTAGCTTTATCTCTTGAGCGATATTATTAATTGCTATTAAAAATAAAGTAGGGCTTAAGGTTGAGCCCTGTGGAATACCGTTCTCAAGACATTCTGTTTTTGAGGTTATTCCATTCACACGTACTTGGAATATCCTATTATTCATGAAATGTTTTACAAAGGCAAGAAAATTTCCCTGGATACCCCAATTGGACATGGTTTGTAAAATTTTGTATCTCCATGCAGTATCAAATGCTTTATTTATATCAAAAAATATGGCAATTACTTTCTGGTTATTTCTAAAGGACTCACATATAATATTGTCAATAGCTACTAATCATGAGTTGATCTGCCTTTTCTGAAACCGCTTTGGATACGGCTTAATAATTGGTTTTTTTCAAGAAACCATATTAATCTGTCATTTAAAATGTTTTCTAGTAGTTTGCATGTATTATTTGTAAGAGAAATTGGTCTATAGGAAAGGGGGTTGGTTTTTGATTTGAAAGGTTTTAATATGAGAATAATTGTTGATTCAGACCAGATTGAAGGAAATTTTTTATTAAGGTAAATGTGATTGAAAATGTCTAAGAGAATTAATTTTCCTATGTACGGCAAGTTTTTGATAAATATGATTGGTATATTATCAGGACCCGATGATGTGTTTTTTGATTTATCTAGAGCTTCTTCAAATTCTTGATATGTGATGGGGAAATTTAGTAGATTATCTCTATCGATATAGATATCTATCGTTTATTTTTAAAATAAAAAAGTGCGGGATTGAAGTTTGCATTGCTTGAATTATTATTATTATTGAGTTAATGCCTATATAAATCTGACATAATATTACTAATTTCTTGTTTGGAAGATATTAATTTGTTTTTATAAGCGAGAGTGTTAATATGAATTGAGTTTTGTTCACCTTTTAGTGTACGTACTTTATTCCAGATTGCAGTCATACTGGTACTGGTTTTCGTTTACAAGGTTTTGTTTTTCCCACTGTAATATTAGCGCATTTTACTATAGTATCATTGAAATGATGAAGAGATGAATGTATGCTATCTTCTAGAATAAAGTTCGTAAGATAATTATTTATTAGATCTCTATATAAGCCCCAGTTTGCTGAGGTAAATTTCCATTTTTGGTAAACAGGAATATTTGGTTGATCATGCAAAATGGTTTTAATTGTTACAGGAAAATGATCGCTATTATATAGATAATCAAGACTGTTCCAAGAAAAACTTGTAGCTAATGTGTGATCACACAACGAAATATCGATGGCAGAAAAAGTACTATTGTGGGAACTAAAATGAGTAGATTTACCAGTATTCATTAAAATTATCTATTATAGATATATCTGTTATTTCACGTTTATTTTTGAAATCTAAAAATGCGGGATTGAAGTTTACATTGCTTGAATTATTCTTATATACATCTGACATAATATTACTAATTTCTTGTTTGGAAGATATTAATTTGTTTTTATAAAAAAGACTGTTAATATGAATTGAGTTTTGTTTACCTTTTAGTGGACGTACTTTATTCCAGATTGTAGTCATAGGTGTTGATGAATTTATGGTAGAGACATAATTTGACCATGTTTCTTTTTTACTTTTCTTCATAAGATATTTAGTTTTTGCTCTAAGTTTTTTAAAATTGATAACATTTTCCGTTGTTTTATGTCTTCTTAAAACACTGAAAACATGTTTGCTAGATTTCATAGCTAAGGCTATTTCGTCGCTCCACCATAGTACTGGTTTTCGTACAAGGTTTTGTTTTTCCCACACATGGAAAATAATCGCTATTATATAGATAATCAAGACTATTCCAAGAAAAACTAGTAGCTAATGTGTCATCACACAACGAATATCGATGGCAGAAAAAGTACTATTGTGGGAGCTAAAATGAGTAGATTTACCAGTATTCATTAAAATTAGATTTTGATTGTCTAATAATTTGTGAAGAAGTCTACCACATTTGTCTGTTTTTATACTACCCCATGTGATATTATGACAATTCAAGTCACCAAGTATTAGTTTGGGAGCAGGAATATCATCGATTAAGTGATGTAATTCTTCAAGTACATTTTCATTTGTATGAGGGAGGTAAATGTTACATATGTTAATAGGTCTGCAGTTGATATTGCATGACACTGATATAGCTACAGCTTCTAGATTAGTATGTAGCTTAATTTCTTTGGTCTGAATGTGATTTTTTACAAAAATACCAACACCTCCACTAGCATATGTTGCGTCTCGAGTTTTAAGGAAATGGGAATAATTTTTTATATTAATGTTATTAGTTTTAAGGTGGGTTTCCTGTAAACATATTATAAGAGAAGAAAGATCATTTATAAGTAAATTAAGGGATTCTAAATTATTAAAATAACCATTAAGATTCCACTGTAATATAAATGTATTATCCATTTTATTTAACAACGTAGGAAAGGGAGTTATCGCTTTCAATATCCGAGGATGAATCGGTAACTGAGGATTGTATCTTTTTTCGAAGTCTTGTTAGTTTATTTTTTATTTTGCGATCAGGAATATGGTCGTGGGCGAATAGAAGTATCTCTTTTCTTCTTCTTCAGATGCAAATCCACTAATGGATGTTAGCAATCACATTTTCCATTAACTCTCTATTTCTTGCAATATGTATCAGAGATTGTATGTCGTTAATCCCTGTCCATTGCCTTATGTTTCGGAGCCAGGACATTTTCTTGCGTCCCATTCCTCTTTTGCCTTCAATTTTACCCTCGATTATAAGTTGGAGGAACTGGTATTTTTCATTTCGCATGATGTGACCTAGATACGCTGTTTTCCTTTTCTTGATGGTTTCGAAAAGTTGGCGTTCTTGGTTTATTCTTTTAAGGACATCTATATTTGTGATTTTCGCTGTCCATGGTATTTTTAGGATACGGCGATAAAGCCACATTTCGAAAGCTTCCAATCTGTTTATATCCCTCGTTTTGAGTGTCCAGCCCTCTACGCCATATAGCAGCACTGACCATACGTAGCACTTAGTAAACCTTAGTCTCAGTTTAAGTCTCTCAGAACTCAGAACAAGTCAGTATCTTCTTGAATTTTACGAAAGCTTGTCGAGCTTGCTCAATGCGACATTTTACTTCCCTGTCCGATGCCCAGTCTTCAAAAAGCCACGATCCCAGGTATTTAAATTTACTCACTCTTTCTATGGATTTACTGTTCAGTGTTATGGTGGAGTTTTCAAATGCATCCAAGTTTCTGGAGATGATCATGAATTTGGTCTTTTTGGTATTAATCTCTAGTCCCATTCGCTCACTGTATTCTCCGATTATAGTGACAAGTTGTTGAAGATCGACTATGTTGTCACAAATTAAGACACCATCATCAGCATATCGTATGTTGTTGATCAATACTCCATTCACCTTGATTCCCATCTCTGCATCTTCCAAAGACTCTTGAAATATGGCTTCTGAATAAATGTTAAATAAAAGAGGGGAAAGCACACATCCCTGTCGAACGCCTCTTCTTATATGTATGGGCTTAGATATAGAATTGTCTATTTTTAGCTGTGCCGTTTGATGCCAGTACAAGTTTTCAATGCATCTTATGTCTTTTTGGTCTATATCAACTTTCTTGAGAAAAGTATCTCTTTAAAAGAACCCATATCGGTTGTGTAATTTTCTACTATAGGGGGAGGGTAATTTGAGTTTAATGTGTTACATATCGCGTCACAAAGAACTGTAAATTTAAGAGGAAATGTCGGGTATTTAGATTCGATTTTACCTTTAATAGATTCAAGTGACTCGAGGATATCAGATTGTGATGATTTTGGCCGCTTAACCGTATTTTTGGGTTTGGTAAATATTGTTGGATCGGGTGGCGTGTCATGTATCTCAGGAGAGTCAGTAGATATTTGTCTCTTTGTTTTTTGATGGGAGGCATCAGTGTTCAAAGTAATAGGATTGTTATTTTTAGTCGTTTCATTGTGAATATCTTCAACTGTTATTTGAAAGTTAGTGGTATTATTAATAGGATTTCCTGCTTTTGTTGTAAGATTTTGAGGTTTAGACGGGAGTGATATTGTAGATTGATATTCAATGGGTGTTTCAGTTGATGTCAATTGTGATAGAACAGGGCAGTCTGTTTCTCGATGACCTTTTGACATACACTTAGGGCAATTTAAGTCAGTGGATAGATAAATTCGATAGTTGGTGTTGTCGAAGGATATTGTGATAGTGATATTTTCAATAGGAGTGATAAAAATTTGTCTTTGAAAGCTTAAAACGTGGTTATAGGCAGTGTCTGGCATTCCAACTCGCAAAAAAGTCATCTGGGATACAGTATTAAGTCCTAATTTTTTCAGCTCAACTTCAAGTACTGAGTTTGGTATGATGGGACAGACATTTGAGATGACCAGTCTTGTAGCACGAGTAATTAGACGTCTTACTTCAACTTCTGAATCATTAATGGATATTGATGTATGTGTCTTCAGCAATGTGTTGACGACTTCGGTATTGGAGAGATAAATACAAATTCTGTTATTTGAGATGCGGGATGCAAATAATATATTTTCTGGTTTTACTATATTTCCTATTGCTATCACGTATTCGTTTATTTTTCAGACGGTACTGTTTCCATAAAAACAGAATCGGTAATGAGGTACCAAAAGTTGTGTAGTTGATAAATCCGGTAGCAGGAACTTGTTTTGATATAAGTATCTTTAATTATTATATTATAATAAATACTACTTACAGTTTTTTCCAAGTAGTTCAAATTTATTTTTATATTAACACTACACTTTATTGCAATTTTATCAACTGGATATAAATAATATCGCAAAAAACTAGGTGTAATTAGGCTAGCTATTAAACACGTCTGTTAACGACAAAGGTTCGACGTGAAGTCCTAATAATAAAGTTACTTATAATGTTTTAGGTACTTTATATAGGAAAAATAAAAGTATGGCAGAAAAAAGTTCCAGATACATTCGTAGACGATGCGCTTGAAAAATTCAATACCCACGAAATGGAAAAAATTCGGGGGAAACAACTAGGTAGCATAGGAAGGCTAAAAAGCGAAAGTGATATTCTAAGAAGAAGTTCGTCGGTAAGTAAAAACCTCCTCTTTAACTATTTTGTGATCCATAAATCTAAAAATCTATAATTTTGTGCAGTGGCACAGTTTAGATTTATTATAATTACTTTACTGCTGTAAAGTATTGGAGGTGCACACATATTATATATACCATATAAAAATAGATAACACCGTAGGTCTACGCTTCAGCCCTATTTCCGTAAGCAAAAGTCTTTTGAGTGTCGTCAAATTGTAAAAATCAAAGGATTTTATTAAAAAACTACAATAAATAATGAATTTTATTAAACTTAAAATTATAATTTAGTTTTTAAATGTTACAAGCAAGTTTTGTATTGAAAATCAAGTCGCCTGTCTTTTTTGAGATAAATTCTTCAATAAGTAATTCATTAAAATTTCTTGAACCATTTTTTTTTCAATTGATAACATGGAGAGTGCAGTTAGTCGATTCTGGCCCATAGTACTTCTAAGGAAAGTTTTGATACGTTTCAATGTAGAGAAACATCGTTCTGCTTCTGCTGTTGTTATTGGTATCGTAACAAGTACTTGAAGAATTAAATTAATTTTAGAAAAATCTTCTTGCAAATTATTTTCCATCAAAAATTTAAGTAAGTGAACTGCTCCGGAAATTCTTTAAAATCGGATCTTCTATAAACAATTTCCAATTCATTCCTTAATTTGTTTTCATTTAGAAAGGGATAATTGTTAATTGCTGATTCCAATGTCAATGTAGGAAAATTTGAGCTGTATATTTCAAAATTATCCACTGAAAATCATTTTGCTATTTCCAAATGTCCTGTAAACAAAAACCTTCTTTTAATTTCAGATAGTATAGTATCGCAAACTTCCTTAGTTTGAATAATTGTGGAGACATAAGAATTTCTGTCATCTTTCTTCCGTCTCTTCCTGGATTGACTATCGTCAATGTCTGTTAACTCGGTTTCTCATATAGTGTGAATATTGTCTCTTTCTTTTTGTATATTTTCTTCAAATGTAGTCTGGCATCGTTTTACGATTACGGAATCAGTAGCAGTTTTTTGTATTTGTGAATATAGTATGTCAACGTGTTGTGGTACCAGATTGCCTAGATGTGGATTGTATTCTTTCCATGCACTTTATTAGGGCTTCTCTCTTTTCATACCCCATGTTCACCGTTCTAATTTTGAAATTCCATCTTGTAGCAGATGCTGACGGAACCCTATTTCCCACAACTTTATCTAGTATGGCAACTCTCTGAGGTGAATTTGAAAAAAATTAGTAATGTTGGTCAAATCAGCAAAAAATATGCGTACATTAGTATTTATGCTTGTTGCCTGAGACATTAACAAATTTAACTGATGCGCATAACAATGTATATAATTGGCATATCTAGAGAAATTAACTTATCGGAACTTGATAAAACACAACTTAAACATTCTTCTATGCAGCCAGCTAAGGAAACAGCATCGTGTTTATTTGGTTTTAAGAAAGTCAAAAATCTTTCAACAGGGGTCCCGTTTTGTAAAGGGTAACGATAAACTATAACCATTTGAAAAATATTTGAAATGTCACTCGTTTCATCACTCACAATGGAAACAAATTTCGAAGCAGCAATTTCTTTTTTGATATGTGCCTGACACACTGAAAGCATACAATCGAGTAAATAATTTTGATTGTCTTTTGACGTTCCTTTAAACACAGTAGCTTGTTGCAAATGGTCTTTGAGAGCTAAATCTAATTCGGCGGAAAAATTTATGAGTCCTGTAAATATACCAGGGTTTATTGAATCCTTTTTTTATTATCGAATTATTTATCGAATTTACAAGCCACATTAATAACATTAAACTTAATGTGGCTTGTAGATCAGCCCTAACAATTAACAATCTTTATTCGAAGATAAAAGATAAGACTCCCATAGATAGGCTTAGTAATATTGTCTACAACATTCCTTGCCTCTCCTGCAGCAATTCCTACATCGGCCATCTCAATTATTGAAATCACGTATTACACTACACAAAAGTGATTCTCGACTTCACCCTGACCGCTGTGCATTAGCCAAACATGTCCATTCCACTGGTCATCACATGCACTATACGAACACTACAATTCTCCACCGTGAGAACAATAAATCTAAAAGAGAGTTCATTTAAATGTCTTATATTTTCCTTAACGATTTTTCCATCAATGTTAAGAGTGACATTAAGAATCTAAGCGATATATACCACTTCTTACTTAAATCAGATACCAAGAACAATACAACATCACACAGATAACTAACTTGACACTGATATATATATATATATATATATATATATATATATATATATATATATATATATATATATATATATATATATATATATGTATATATTAAAAACTAACCTACTTTAATATTAATTTTTATTAACTAAAAAAGAAAACATTCCCTTGATTTTCTTAGATACATCTCAATAAGATATTATTATAATAATACATGAACAATATACTAATTAAAAAAGAATTTCAATTAAGAAAATTCTAAACTAATATCTCCCCAGACTGGGAACTAACAACTTCATCGGTTTTACCAATGAACCTTAACGACATAAATATTCAAAAAAACTACTTGTAATTGTCAGCGCTTGCTTTCTATAAAAACAATAAAAACAGAACCTCACATTCAAACTTTATAACAATCAAAAATTTAGTTATTGCCGACAATTCAAAGAATTACTTTCTTTAAATGTAGTTACATTGGGTTTTTTGATTAACCTTGGGTAAACATTTGCGTTTTAAGTTCAAAGCTACCATACATTTCCAACGTTAACAAAAATAACTTTTTTGCACATAGTAACAAACACCACTATGTTGTTATTAGCTAAAGTTTTTAACATCATAACTCGACATTTCTAAAATTTACGGTAAGGTAAATGTTTTTTATTAGATAATATATGGTAGCTAATTATAATTTATTCTCTTTCAGCCCTGAAGAAGCCAAATTAATTCTCTTTGCCGAAAACGTTAGGCGAAACAATTGATACACATTAGAGTTTTTCTTGCAGATTTCCCCAATATTTAAGAGTTTACTATTTGACTCATCTGCAAAGATTAGATTTCTTCTATATATATATATATATATATATATATATATATATATATATATATATATATATAACCAATATTAAAATTGTTTTATTATTCTTTATTTTAATTTGATTTATTTTTAGGATTCATCTACCAGCGAAGATTCAGTCTCAAATACAAACGTCCACCCATTACTTAGATCACAATCAGTTCACTCCAGTTTGCTTAGAATTCAACAGAACCAAATCATAGATACCTTATCTTCGATATCGGAAAAGAATAAGTCAAATGATCATAACGCTTACAGTAATGTCCAAAATACAAGTGGTTATCTTGACGGTTTGAATAAGGAAAACACAAAAGCAGAAAATATTGTGTCCAATCAAGAAATTGATAGAGTTAATAATATTAATTCTGAATTGAGTAATGATATTGCTCCTTCTCGTTCCAAGTCAGTATTAAATCTAGATGATCACAATAGGACGATGGTATTGCAAGTTGATAGGACCGATTTGAGATTAATAAGTCCCGACAGGAAAATTATTCTACTACATAAACATCATAAAGATATTGCTACTTGTGTTCAGGTAAAATAATAATTTTAAAATTTATCTAATCATCTGATTTATCTTCATCTTTTTCTCTGTTTGTTACATTTCATTTAACCCAATTTGTTAAATTAAATTTAAATTCTCAATTGTCTTGCACATATCGTCACCGTAAAATCAAACAGACAAGTCCAAAAACCGAATTTGCAGATATTGGTTTAAAAAAATTTCACATTTTTGTCGTTTTTTTTTATGTCACACCGGTATTTAATTTGATAAAAGAAATCCGGTTTACATAATGTTGGTGTCCCTGTTTTGTTTAGTGGAAGACAAATCTAGATGGCGCAATGCAACAGTCGATTTCTATATGTTATAATGAAAGAATATGCGCCGTGTATATTAAACTAAATAAGCTCACAATAGTATCTTTTCTTATCATTCTAGAACTGAATTATTGGTAGGTAATCCGGTTCCCATGAAATATTATCCACATACAAGCCAAAATCCCTGGTTTCTGCTAAATTCGCCCTGTTAACCCTACGTTAGTCGCTATCGGCGTCACATACCGACGACAGAATTATTCATTCGGTGTTTACAAATAACTATTATTTTTCTATCACCACTTTCTGTACCTCTCCCTTTCAACCAAACTCGTGTTAGTGTACATTTTTACCTGCCTGGGTATAGATGTGCGAGTTTTATAGTTATTTTCGGTACGAGATTTCGTAATGACTAACGGTGTAGCTATTACTTGTTGGCATAATTTGAAGATAAATATTTAGCATCTTATTATTGAATTTTATCGGTAAGTTTTTGTCAATTCTTATTTATACATCCTTTGAAGCCGAACAAAAATACTTGTTGGAATTTTGGGAAATTGTTCCTACCGACGATGAAAATTATTATGACGATGAGTGAAGTGAAATCGAAATTAATTAAATTAAAGAACGTGATGGCAGAAGCGAATTCGAACAATATGTGACAGACGAGGAAGAAGAATGTGGAAGTAATACCTTAGCGTTTATTGGAAAAAAGGAGTTACCAGATGGAAAAAAGCTGTTCCACCGAGGAATGTTAGAACAAGACCAGAAAATTACGTAGTATGTTTGCCGATGTCAAGTATACCTACACGTGACTTGAATATACTTAGTGATATTTGGAAATATTTTGTGAATAATGGTATGTTAGAAATGATTGTAGAAAGTACGAACAAATATATAGACTTAATAAGAAACAATTTGTTCGTGATCCGAATGCTAGACTGATATATCAGAAAGGCATGCACTAATAGGACTGATTTATTACGCAGCACGTCTGACAGGTACTCGTGTGGATCCAGTTGGAAAACTGATGGATCAAATAAAGAAATGATCCGCCTAACCATGTCGCCCCAACGATTTAAATTTCTCCTTCGGTGTATGCGATTCGATGACAAAGCAACTCATGAAAACCGATTAAAGAAAGACAAGTTGGCACATATACGAAGTTTTTTAGACAATTGTGTAACTCATTGTAGAAGTGGATACAGTCTTTCCGAATCATCGATGAGACGTTACAAGGATTTAGGGCTAAGTGTCGATTTCGTCAGTATATCAAAATTGAACGAGTACAGCATAAAAATATTTGCACTCTCTGATGCTAAAAGGTTTAATATGGCTAATTTAGAGGTATATATTGGCCAACAACCTGAACGCCGTTTTAAAGTTAGTAACATACCTAGTGATGTTGTTCAACGGCAATGTAAAATTCAGACCGGAATCTAACAATTGATAACTGGTTTATAAGTGGTTTACAATTGATAACTAGTTGGTGAATAAGTTATACGAGAAGAAAATTACAGAGGTTGGAACCATTACGAATAATAATATTATATCATCAGCATCCTATATATTCAAGTGGGTTTGGTTTTAATCAACATATTACACTAGTTTCTCATATTCCTAAAAAAATTAAAATGTATAGCTTGTATCCTCACTTAATCATGATGATGCAATTGACTATAGTAGGGGTAATCAAAATAAACCGGAAATTATCGCCTTGTATAAGATCTAAGCGGTGAGACACAATTTGGTTTCAAGAGCGGACTAGGTACACGTGAAGCAGCTTTCTGCTTGAATACGCTTGTACAAAACTGCATGGATTAACGAAAGGGTGTAGTCATAACATTCCTCGATTATGAAAAAGCGTTTGACACCGTAAAACATGACGCAATGATAAAAATGCTACACAACGCTTGAGAACGCAAGAGTTATCCAGAATCTCTATTGGAATCAAAAAGCACGAGTGAGACTGAACAAATCAACCAACACAGAAGAATTTAAAGTTTTAAGGAGAGTGCTACAAGGGTGAATTTTGTCTCCTATTCTCTTCAATCTCTATGTAGAGAACATTTTTGCAGACGCACTGGAAGGTTCTGAGTGTGGAATAAAGGTCAACGGTTTCCCGATAAATAACATTCGTTACGCCGACGACACCGCAATAATAACAGACAACGAACATGATATGCAGTTAATGTTAAACAAAATAAACACCGTAGGAAAAATATATGGCTTAAAGATAAATGCTGGAATAACTAAATGCATGACAATAAGAAAAAACGCACTTTTAAGAATACAACTGCAAGTAGATGGTGCTCCAATCGATCAAGTGGATAGATTTAAATACTTGGGAATGATGATGAATGACCAATGGGATCCTCGGAACAAGAAATAAAATGCCGTACCGAACAAGCAAGACAAGCTTTTATCAAATTTAAACCGCTAATATGTAACCGCAATCTTTCCTTCAATTTCCGCTACAGGATGGTTAAATGCTATGTATGATCCATATTGTTATACGGCATGGAAACATGGACGTTAAGAGTACCTTCCATTAATAAGTTGGAATCCTTCGAAATGTGGACGTTGCAAAGAATGTTCCGGATACCACGGACAGATAGGGTGAGAAACGAGGAAGTCTTAAAAAAGGCAAGTACTGAGAGAGAACTAGTCAATTTGATCAAGGTACGAAAAATTGGATACCTCGGCCATATTCTGAGAGGAAAAAAATACGCAATCCTTTAACTAATCATCCAGGGAAAGATTAAAGGCAAGAGAGGAGTAGGTCGCAAACAAATGTCGTGGCTACGAAACATAAAAAACTGGACAGGCATAAAATAACACTGGCGATCTTTTGCATGCCGCAAAACACAGACGTCTGGCATTAAGATAATTCGCCAACGCACTATAGGTGCACGGTACTATAAGAAGAAGAATAATTTAACAACAATAGAAATCGACGTGGTAGACCAGCTCAGCGCTAACTACAACTGTTCAAGAAGCACAAAGCGTTGGCCAATGGTTATATTCTATACCATATTAAATATAGCTGGCATTATTTTAATGATTATCTTTAATGCAAACGATAAGAATGAGGAAAACGTGAAAATACGTGATTTTCTAAGAAACCTTGCAAATGAGCTTATATATCCCTATTTAAAAAGTCGAATTACTACTACAAATCTGCCAGTTAGCCTCAAATGCCGAATTCGCAAAATTTAAGGCATCATAGATATAACTCATGCAATTCCAGCAAGAAATGAAACAAAGGGTCGTTGTGCATTTTGTAATACCAAAAAGAACAGGTGTACTCGCTTTTCATGCATAATATGAATACAACTCATGTGCCTTGAACATATTCAAGGAATATGTCAGCTTGGTCTGAGTGAGGCTACAACATAAAATGTCTCACTTACTAAATTAAGTAAAATGCTTACTTTTTATTTTTGTAAAAACCTGAGTTATATTTTTTAGTTAATCTAGATTCCTCTTAACTAAAAATTACGAAGTAAATGTTTTTCCATTTCAAAGAATTCAAGAACATTTTTTTTTATTTAATTTTATATTACAAATTAATAATAATACATATATTGTTGTACTAGTGTATCATTATTGTATCTGTTGTTTTTCAATAAAATATTTTCAAAAATATTTTTCAGTCATTCCTATATACACAATATAAGATATTTGTATGAATTTTATAGCAATAACTTTTTTCTATGACGTGCGGAAAATTCATTCACTTCAGTATGCGATAAGTTGATTATAAAATGAACATAATAAATATAAAAGTTGATTATAAAATTATTAAAAGGCAAAAAACGATGAAATACAATATTTGCGCATTTTAAAATTTTTTAAATTTGCGTTATTTTAGTGTATTTCGTACAAAACTCACAGCGCACCGTCACCCATACCTAACAGGACGAATTTTCTTTCAGAAAATTTGAATGTCAAATGTCTAAAACGGAATTTGCTGTGAATAATTCAGTTTGAATGATTTTTTAATAAAAACAACATTTAAAGAACAGCCAGACTGCTCTATTCACAACACAGCACTTAGACTCTTTTTTGGGGCATTTCGAACGTCACCGGTGGACAGTTTATATTCTGAAAGTGTGATAGTTTAAGTCTTAAAGAATCCTATGAAATTTGCTAAATTTGTCTAGCATCATTAATTGAGCAAGTTCAATAGTTCAAATATTTAGCCTCTGGGATAAATAAATTAAATAAATTTTAAACTATTTGATCAATCGGGGGGAAATGTCGCATACATTTAAAAGACAATAATTCCTCGATGTGTTAATGTATTATAACAATTTATTTTGTTAATAAAAAAATAAATAAAATTTATAAATTAGTGCAAACAAAATGCTTTTTTGCGAATATCTCCGTAAATTATTTATCAATTTTAATTTAAAAAAAACGGGAAAATAAAGACATTCTTAATATAAAAAAATGATATAAATATTGTTTATGTAAAATATAAGGGAAACATTTTATGGACAAAAAATCAAATGGTGACCATAATTTATTGCTTAAAAAAACGCAAGGTAAAAATATGAGTATCTTTTCATCTATTCGTCATCTAGTAACTCCCACCTATGTCATAAAAGCTTCAAATATTTGCGAAAAATTTTCGACTTTTTTTTAACCAGACTGGGCTATTGGTACTCGGTAGCTACAGTGTCAAATAAACGGTAGTCAGCAATAAAAATCAACACTTTGGAAGGCTCTGGTAAAAAATGTCTCTTTTGGAATTATGTCGGTTTGATTTGAGAGCTCCCATATGGACTTATTGTGCTGTAATATAACAAATTAAAGAATCAGACTTTATCTTGCTATAGTTTAATTTTTTTTAATTTTAGGGACAAGTTAGATCTGATCATTTTGGGTTTATCTGTAAAGAAGGACAAAATACATTCACTTATGTTGGCTACATATTTAAATGTGAATCTTCTTCAATAGCCGGTGATGCTATGGCAGGTAAAACTAATCATGTTTATTACAATTTTTAAGTACTTAATTCTTTTATGTTTTTAGCTATAACACAAGCATTTTTAAACAATGACGTGCGACCAAAACACACAATAACATCTTGTGACCATTGTCCTATGGTGTGGTATCATAAATTATGTGTTGAAATCGAAAATATGTCCGATAGAAAAACGCAAGCTGCTATTTTTAGAAGGTCAGTTGTCTTTTAAATCTAGTTAGCTATATTTTTATTTTTCAAAAATGACGTTACCTACAGATACCAAGGTGTAACTAATAAAATATTTAGATTATAAACATCTGATATTTCGCTTTCTCATTTTCACTCGTATATAAACTCTCCGCTAATTGTTCAGATATTGATAACTATATAGTTTAACATCTTTGATACTTCGTTTATAATAATAATAATAATAATTTATTAAAGCAACCCAACCCAAAAACCAAAAAAACCTCCTAACGAACATAAAACAGCTGGGTCTAAATGAACATCTTTATAAGGCCATACAGAAAGCTGTACTCCTCGCGACGTCCAGATGTGTACGAAAATTTCTGGGATATACTCAGAAATAGTCACCTAGGGCTTAATAACACGGAAAGAGTCCCACCAGAGCTCAATCCTTTTGATATCGTAGGTATCTGGGATAAGTGAATTTTCCCCTTAGAGGGAGTGTGAGCCGTATGGCTAAATCTGGAATTAAATACTAGTTAATAAACTAAAGAGGCAAACAACATTAATTGATGTGGCGATACCCAACAACAATAATCTTCGTGTTAAACAGAACGAAATAATCATCAAGTATAGGGATTTGGAAATTCAAATACAAAAACACTGGAAAATGGAAAGTACCCAGACAATACCTATTATTATCTCTACTACTGGAGTCATTCCAAAGAACCTCCTAGAAAATATAATAAAGCTAGGTCTGAATGAACATATCTACAAGACCATGCAGAAAGCTGTACTACTCTCAACGTCCCGATGTGTACGAAAATTTTTGGGAGATACTCCAGCATACCAAGTCACCTAGGGCTCGATAACACGGAAAAAGTCTCACCAGAGCTCAATCCTTTTGATACCGTAGGTATCTGGGATGAGTGAATTTCTCCCCTTAGAGGGAGTGTGAGCCGTATGGCTAAATCTGGAAATAATAATTAATAGCAGAATCCCAGAGGGTAACAGGAATATCTGTCGTGGAACAAAAAATGATACCTGGCAGTAGATATAAAATGCATACCCATGATAATGGAGAATAATAATTTATGTTTAGGATGCGCTAAGAGCTCCATAAGTTGCAAAAAACAACTTAATATCGACTCAGTCATTTCTAACCAGGCATACACCAAAAAAAGGAACCTCTTTACTGCCTTTATTGACTATAAAAAAGCCTTTGACTTAGTGCCGCATGAATGGCTGGTAAATATATTAAGAATATATAAAGTCGATGTATACACCTATATGTCGACTATATAATATAGTGACCATCTTAAGACATATAATGACAGATTGGAAGACTAAAATTCACCTCCAAATACCTGGTAAAAACAGTATGGAAACGGAAAATATCGCAATTAACCGCGGCCTCTTCTAAGGAGACTCGCTAAGTACCTTGTGGTTCTGTCTAGCGATGAACCCACTATCCCAGCTATTGAACTCCACTGACTCAGGTTTTAGCATTAAAAACAACAACACTGTAGTGGCGAAGCTTAATCATTTGTTGTATATGGATGATTTGAAACTAATGGCTTCCACTCGAACTCACTTAGATCAAATGCTAAAAACTGTAGAAACTTTTTCAAATGATATCAGTATGCACTTTAGATTAGACAAATGTCGTGTACTAAATATAGTCAAGGGAAAGGTTCAGCCTGGGGGATTCGATATGCAAAATGGCCAAAACATCGAGGCTATGGGCGAAAATGACATGTATAAATATCTAGAAGTAAAGCAAGCGCGGAAAATTGACCATAAACAAATGAAAATCGAAATAATATCACAGTTCATACGAAGGGTAAAACAGCTACTCCGCTCACATCTTAATAGTAAAAATTTGTTTAAGGCATCAAATACCTACGCATTTTCCGCGCTTAGCTACTCATTTGACATTATTAAGTGGACTAAAACGGATATAGGAACTCTTCAGAGAAAAGTACGAACACACCTTACACCGAAAAGATTAATAATTTAAGAACTTATTTTCAGGTACAGGCGGAGACATCTACTCTTCATCGCGCGATTTGCACAGTAGATGACACAACACCGATCAACCTGAGGGAACAAGAAATGCGCATAAACCATCTTACTAAGAACGAAAAAATGCGCATCTGGATGGGTAAACCTCTGCAGGGGCGACATCCGAATGAAGTCAGCCAAGACTATGTCGACAATATAACGTCGAACTATTGACTGACATCAGGAAAGATGTTCCCTGAAACAGAAGGTTCATTACTTGCCATTTAGGATCAGGTTATACTAACCAAAAATTACCTGAAATATATCGTCAAAGACCCTCAGATCCAAAACGACAAATGCCGATATACTGTATATACTGTACTATATAAAACTGAATATAAGGAACGGCATGACTCAGTAGGGAAGATCCTCCATCAAGAAATAGCATTTAAACTGGGACTTCCATAAACAAACCATCTCCCATATTATCAATACGTTCCTGAGAGTATGCTTAAGAATGACAACTACAAGCTATACAGGGATCGCACTGTGCTCACAGACCAAACTGTAGCACATAATAGACCAGCTCTCGTGCTAGTTAATAAACTATCAAGACAAACAACTCTAATCGATGTGGCGATACCTAACAACAATAATCTGCGTGTTAAGTACAACGAAAAGATCGCCAAGTACAGAGATCTGGAAATACAAATAAGAAGACAATGGAGAATGGAAAGTACCCAGACGATACCTATTATTCTTTCTACCACTGGAGTCATTCCGAGGAACCTTCTAGAAAACATAAAAACGCTGGGTCTAAATGAACATCTATATAAGGTTATGCAGAAAGCTGTGCTACTTTCGACGTCCAGATGCGTGCGAAAATTTTTAGGAGATACACTGACGTACCAAGTCACCTAGGACTCGATAACATGGAAAGAGTCCCACCAGAGCTCAATCCTTTTGATACCGTAGGTATCTGGGATGAGTGAATTTTCCCCTTAGAGGAAGTGTGAGCCGTATGGCTAAATCTGGAAAATAATAATAACCTAACCTGTGGGAGTTTTTATCAGTTCTTAGGCGCGAACCCCTGCGAATGGGGGATGCTTTCTGGGTATTCTTAGAACCGATACCCAGAGAATAACAGGAATACCTGTCGTGGAACAAAAACTGACACCTGGTAGTAGGTATAAAAATGCAAACCCATGAAAATGGTGAATAATTATTTATGTTTAGGGTCGCTGCCTGGGGGTCGCCAGGGCACGTCTGGAGCCGGCGCTGGACGTGACAGCATGCGGGACGTCGGTGGCAGGGTGTTAAGGAGGCGGGCCCCTGTCATACAATCAGCTACAGCCCAACAACAAGAACCACAGGAAGAACCACCAGTAAGCCAAACAACAGAAAGAGCTCTACTCGCTGAAGGTGCTGCGCTGGAACATCAGCAGGCGCTCACTCAAGCGGAACGACCGAGGCAGCGCATGAAATGGACTGTGTCTATAAACGAAAACATTTTACGCTTTTAATATAAGGTGACAAACCTCGGTCAAGAAACGATCGGCTATCGACAACAACTGTATGCCGAATTTTGCAGGGAGTACCCAGAAATCCAAGTATCTGAACAAAGAGTAGCAGACCAATACCGGGTAATTATCAGAAACAATCTTATCCCAGAGACTAGACGCGACATGATCAAAAGCGAAGTCGAACGGAAGATCCATAACCTAGAGCACGTTGTAGACCAAGTCCCTAATGAAATCATTAGTGAGCAGATTCCTCAGCTTCGCATCCAAGAAACTCCACCTGATAATATACAACAGGAGAATAACGAGTTGCAGGCTAGTCTGGTAAACGAGATGGCACGTGCCGTACAAGAGTTTAGTGGAACAAACCCACTTAGCAAACCACCGCTACCAAAAATAAACTCTTCTAAGAAACTAGGAGCGCTGTTACAAATTGTGAATACTAAAGTCCTACCCAATTATATCGTAGAAGCCCATACACTGGAATATTTGCATATGCTGATTTACTGTGCGGCAACAGCAATTGCTAATGTTATGGGCATTAAGATCAGAACACGACGAGGAACTAATATCGGAAGGACTGAAAACAGAATAGCACCCTAGGAACAACGACTGCTGAGGAAGATTGAATTACTGCGTAGGGACATTGGACAAATTACGGAATACATTCGAGGAGTAAGAACTCGAAAAGTATTTAAAAAAACTGAAGAAATAATTCTGAACACTGGAAGACACTCACAACATGATCCAGAAAACAACACAGCTCGACACTGCCTGGGCACACTAAAACAAAAACTCTCCGTTTATTTAGGTCGCCTAAAAGTGAGTAACAACCCGAAATGTGACAATATACTTTTTGAGCATGCAGAGAAGTCTTTCTATAGGAAACTGAATTCCACTGTAGAAAATGTAAATAAATCCTATCCACGCCAAGAAGAAATTCATGAGTTTTGGAGAAACCAACTTTCAACACCAGCTACTCATAACAACAATGCTGGATGGATTGAAGAAACGACCAACAACTGTCAACACTACAGTAATGTTCCCTATAAACCTTTCACCACTGAAGAAGTCTCGAACATTATCTAAGAGCTTCATAACTGGAAATCTCCTGGGCCAGACGGAGGTCAAAACTTCTGGCTAAAGAAATTTTTTAGTATACACGAGCATTTAACAGTATTAATTAATCATGTTATTTTTAATCTGCAGGAAATACCACCATTTCTTACTCAAGGAAACACTTATCTAATACCAAAGGATCAAAATAACACCCAAGATCCAGCCAAGTACCGCCCAATTACTTGTCTTCCAACTTTGTACAAATTGGTCACATCCTGTGTAATTCAGCGTATCTACCAACACTGTTCTCTAAACAATATCATAGAGCCTCAACAGAAAGGATGCGCTAAGGGTTCCATGGGCTGCAAAGAACAAATTATAAGCGACTCAGTCATTTCCAACCAGGCGTACAGCAAAAAAGGAATTTTTTTACCGCCTTCATCGATTACAAGAAGGCCTTTGATTCAGTACCGCATGAATGGATGATATTATTGAAAATATATAAAGTCGATGTTAATATAGTGACTTTTTTAAAGCATATAATGACGGAGTGGAAGACTAAAATTCACCTTCAAATACCTGGTGAAAAAAATATCGAAACTGAAGATATCTTAATTAACCGGGGCCTTTTCCAGGGGGATTCCTTGAGTCCTCTTTGGTTCTGTTTAGTGATGAAGCCACTATCTCAGCTACTGAACTCCACCGACTCAGGTTTTAGTATTAAAAATAACAACACTGTTGTGGCGAAGCTTAACCATTTGTTGTATATGGATGATTTGAAATTAATGGCTTCCACTCGAAACCACCTAGACCAGATGCTAAAAACTGTTGAAAATTTCTCAAATGATATAAGTATGCACTTCGGTCTTGACAAGTGCCGTGTCTTAAATATAATCAAAGGAAAGGTTCAGCCCGGCGGATTCGATATGCAAAACGGCCAGAACATCGAGGCCATGGGTGAAAATGATATGGATAAATACCTCGGAATATAGCAAGCGCGGAAGATTGACTATAAGCAAATGAAAACTGAGATAACAACTGAGTTTATACGAAGGGTAAAACAGCTGCTTCGTTCACACCTTAACAGTAAAAATTTGTTTAAGGCACTAAACACATACGCTTGTTTCGCGCTTAGCTACTCATTTGGTATTGTTAAGTGGACAAAAACGGATATAGAAAATCTTCAGCGAAAAGTACGAACACACCTCACAAAGGCACAAAAACACCATCCTCGAAGTGCAGTAGAAAGAACGACATTACCGCGATATTTAGGAGGTCGAGGATTTATGGATATAAGCGAGCAATTAGAAAAACAGAATACTAATTTAAGAACTTATTTTCAGGTGCAGGCGGAGACATCTACTCTTCATCGCGCGCTTTGTGCAGTAGATCACACAACACCGATCAAACTGAGGGAATCAGAAATGCGCGTAAACCACCTTACTAAGAACGAAAAAATGCGCACCTGGATGGGCAAACCTCTGCACGGGCGACATCCCAATGAGGTCAGTCAAGACCATGTCGACAATATAGCGTCGAACTATTGGCTGACATCAAAGTGGAATGATGTTTCCCGAAACAGAAGGTTCACTACTGGCTATTCAGGATCAGGTTATACAAACCAAAAATTACCTGAAATATATCTTCAAAGACCCTCAGGTCCAAAATGACAACTGCCGATATGGATGCCAAGCTCAGGAAACCATTCAACATCTTACCGGGGGCTGTCAGGCATTTGCTGCAACTGAATATAAGGAACGGCACGACTCAGTAGGAAAGATCCTTCATCAAGAGATAGCTATCAAACTAGGCCTTCTTCAAACAAACCATCTTCCATATTATCAATATGTTTATGAGAGTATACTGAGAACGACAACTACAAGCTATACTGGGATCGCACGGTGCTCACAGACCAAACAGTCGTACATAATAGACCAGATCTCATACTAGTTAATAAATTAAAGAACAGAATACAAACAACATTAATTAATGTAGCGATACCCAACAACAATAATCTTCGTGTTAAACAGAACGAAAAAATCGCCAAGTACAGGGATTTGGAAATTCAAATACGAAGACAGTGGAAAATGGAAAGTACCCAGACAATACCTATTATTCTCTTTACTACTGGAGTCATTCCAAAGAACCTCCTAGAAAACATAAAAAAGCTAGGTCTGAATGAACATCTCTACAAGACCATGCAGAAAGCTTTACTACTCTCAACGTCCAGATGTGTACGAAAATTTTTGGGAGATATTCCAGCATACCAAGTCACCTAGGACTCGATAACATGGAAAGAGTCCCACCAGAGCTCAATCCTTTTAATACCGTAGGTATCTGAGATGAGTGAATTTTCCCCTTATAAGGAGTGTGAGCCGTATGGTTAAATCTGGATAATAATAATAACCGTAGGTATCTGGGATGAGTGAATTTTCCCCTTAGAGGGAGTTTGAGCCGTATGGCTAAATCTGGGATAATAATAATAATAAAGATGGCCAAGTACAGAAATCTAGAAATACAAATCAGGAGACAATGGAGAATGGAAAGTACCCAGACACTACCTATTGTTCTATCTACTACTGGTGTTATTCCCAAGAACCTTTTTAGTTTTTACTTACCCTTTGCACAATTATTTGCAAAACATTTCTTCTGATATGTTTGTCTGACATCATTTGTCTCACGTATCAAGGTGTTTCATATGTAGCTGATTTTGCCTTCGTGTCTCTCTTTTACTTTACTTTACGCCGTGGCTTACAACCCTTCGTAGGTTTTAGCCGACTCGACAACATGCTTCCACAGGATTTTTCTTTCTTGTCCCTCTTCGTTTGCTTTTGTTATCGTCCACGTTTCGCTTCCATACATCACAACGGGTCGTATGATTGTTTTATAAACCTGTATCTTTGTATGTCTTAGTTGTTTCGATTTTATAAGGTTTTGGAGGGCAAAAAGACATCTGTTGCCGGCTTAAATCCTGTTATTTATTTCTTGTGATCCGTTATTGTCTTCAGTTATTGTTATTCCATGATACTTGAATTCTCTAACGCGTTCAAAGTTAAAGTCATCGATGGTGATGTTCTGACCGATTGTATCTCTGCTTTGGTTATTGCGGCTCACATACATATATTTGGTCTTGTTTTCGTTGATTTGGAGCCCCATCTTCTCTGCTTTCTTTTCGAACCTTACGAAAGTCTCCTTCATCCTTAATTTCCTTAATCGTGTGTTTCCTATTAGATCGATATCGTCTGCAAATGCCAGTAGTAAGTTTGGTCCTTCTCGATGAAATACTGTATTCGGTTTTTCGATTCTTGCACTTTTGATTATGTGCTCCAGATCTAAGTTGAAAAGTTGTGATGACAGTGCATCTCCCTCTTTTAGTCCATTGTTTATTTCAAATGTCTCCGAGTATTGTTATCCAACTCTCACCTTACAATCGTAACCGTTCCATACACATCCATATCAACCTGACTAGTTATTTTGGAAAGCCAAGTTCCTGCATCGCTGTCCACAATCTGGCCCTGTATACTCTATCAAATGCTTCTTTAAAATCTATGAACATCTGATGAAGCTCACGATCAAACTCCCAACATTTTTCCATTATCTGTTTTATTGTGAATATCTGGTCAATAGTAGAGCGGTCCGATCTAAATCCGCATTAATAATCTCCAACGATTTCTTCTGTATATGTTTTGGTTCTTTCTAGCAGGATGTTTGCATGGATTTTGTAGGTGGTGTTTAGGAGCGTTATTCCCGGTAGTCGATAGACCCTTTCGTGTCCCTCACCTGCACTAAAAAATCGTTTTGCTGTTGCAAAGCGTTATGAAGGTATTTAATTTTTCTTTTACTACCCACATTTGATAGGCTTTTCCCTACCCTTCACCTAAGAACGCAAAAAATTGAAAAATAATAAACTATTAAAAATCTGAATTTATATACAAGGACCACCTCTGACTCCACGTTGTGGTTATTGTTTTAGTTACCTCACGCATTAGCCTAATTAAGATTTTTTAATATTTTATTTTTGCGTATAAACAGATAAATGTATATATTTTCTGAAATCTTTAGGGTGGAACAATTAGACGAAGAAGAACAATCAATAATCCTAACAAAATTTCGAGGTGCCGAAACTGATTCCGTCCGAGAACAAAACGAATTTCTAATGATGTTGCTAAGAGCCCACTGTGAATCGAAACAATTGCGACATACTCACGATACTGCTGAAAATCGTTCCGAATTCCTTAATCAGTATCTAGGTAGCAGTACTATATTTACAAAAGCTAAACGAAGTCTATCGAATTCGTTTGATCAGTTGCTGAAAAGAAGGGTATCTAAAGATGATTTAGGTGTTTCTTCAAAGGGTCTAAGTCTTCCTATTAATAATAATATGAAGGTAAGTAGATATATCAGAAAATCAATAATGTAAGAAAATATTTTTACAGTATTAATATGAGGTTGTTCATTAAAATAAATAATTATAGTATTGAAGTAATTATAGAGTATATGCCAGGACTATACTGAATAATTGGTACAAGATTTCAACAAATATCGAGATAAAAATGCTTAACATCATTCGATTTGTCGACGATATTGTCCTTATGGACGATGATTTACACATTGGCAAATAATTGCTTAAAGCACTTTCACATATAAATAAATAATAACAAATAAAAAAATAACCAAATAAGCAGAAGTAAAACAAATTATATAACAAATTTGGTCATCGAAAGAAAAACAAAATTAGAAAACAACACAATGGAAGAGGTTAAAAAATACAGATTTTTAGTTAGGACTTTAATGATCACCAAAGACAATCAGACAAAAGAAATACAAAGAAGATTTGACATACGTTAGGCTGCATATTGCAGAATGAAGGACACATTTAATAGTTTAATTTCTATGAAGCTTAAGGAAGAGGTGTAAAATAAATGCGTGCTTCAAGTAATAACATATGTAACCAAAACAGTAACGCTCACTAAAAATAATACTAATAACTTAAGATTCACACAAAGGAAAACGCAAAGATCAATATTAGGAATAAAACTTACATCATAACAAATATCATTAACATTCTGACTTTACAACCCTGTGTGTGTTGTTATGCCTGAGAATCCAGCTCTTCACGAAGTTCTTTCCAGTCATCATTCATATCCATTGCATTGCACCGCCAAGCACGTGTTCCCATATTTCAAGGAACCTTGTTCTATATCTTCCTCACATTCTCTGATCAATGTGTGTCTAAGAAGCGCTCTTCTAGCTAGGTCAGTTTGTTCGATCTTGATTTGTCACCTCGGGGTAAATGGAAAGGGTCTTGCCACCTTCTGTACCACCGTGTGCTCTGTAGAGGGGCTTCGAAAACATCGTGAGCTCCTCTACTTTTGTCCATTTTCAGGGTATGGACTTCAAAATGTTTTGTTTCCTGATGGCTCGTCTTAATAAAGACGAGAGATTTCTTACATGACAAATATCTTACATGATAGTTGTCGAAATGAACATCAGGTTTGTTGTCTTCGATGTCTTGCCTTGAAAAAGGCAAGTTATTTCTTACATGACCAAATATACATAGGTCGAAATAAAACACCAAAAATACAGTAGAAATAATACTCAGCCACAGAGTATGGAAAGCTAAAAAGGAAGCAGAGCCCCGAGAGCACTAAGCTCTCGGAGTGCCCGTGAAGGACTGAACTGATTGACCTGAAAATCGCCTAATTTTATGCTTTCTGAAGTAGCGATTAGGGATTTCCAGGTCAGGGAGGGGCCAACGGGAAAAATAAGGGGTGGGGCGATGCGTCTCGAACGTGAACTAGTCGCGTCCGAGAACAGATTACATACCTCAAACACTTATCCTCTACACTTACCTTTCATAAATTTTGTAAGAGTTAGGGTCAATGAACTATGTGTTATAAGCGGGCGTATTCTTATTTTGTAGAGGTTTATCTTTGCATTTCTCGATATGATTCAGAATTTAAGAAGGATCGTCTTCTTCTTTTTCAGCCTTAAGTAATCCAACTTTGGACATAGGCCTCCCCCAAATCAATCCAGTATTTTCTATTTAGCGCCACTTGGTTCCAGCTGTCTCCTACAATCTTCTTAATGTCATAATCCCATCTCATTTGTGCTCTTCCTCTGCTTCTCTTTCCTAACCATGCTCTCCATTGTTGTATTTCGTGGTTCCTTCTTTTAATCAGAGAGATAACATCTCCCTGGCGAAATTCTCTATTGATTGGTATAGCTTTGGTTTTCGCATCTATTTGTATTTTCATTGTAGCTTTCTTATAAATATTATGTATGAGCATTCTGTATCGGGAGTCGATCCTGTAGTTGTTCATAGATAGCACTCTCTGTTGCCCAAAGTTCTATGGAGTTGAATACCTTTTCCTAATCAACGAAGCCAATGTATAAGTTCAAGTTAAATTCATTGGCTTTCTCTATTAGCGTTCTGATTATAAAAAGATGATTCGCTGTACTGTAACCTTTTTGGAATCCTGCCTGCTCTACCGGTTGATATAGCTATCGAGCTTCGATGTTAACCTGTTAGTTATTACTCCCATAAACAGTTTGTACATTTGGGACACCAGGGATATTGGCCTATAGTTCTTCAGATCCCCCCTATCTTCCTTTTTGATGAGAGGTATTGCCGAACTTTCATTCCAATCAGCTAGGACTGCTCTTCTGTAAAGACATTCGTTGAAAAAATTTTTCAAATCTTTGAGAATAATTTCACTCCTCTCCTTCAACATTTCTACAAGTATTACATCTGGGCCCGGAGACTTATTGTTCTTTAATTGTGCCATAGCTTGTTTTATTTTGAAGGATTCTATGTTACGGAGCATTTCTGAGTTGACATTCGTTATATTTCTCTTAAGATCTTCCTTTGCAGTATTATCTGGGTTCTTGTTTCAGGAATATAAATCACGGTAAAATGTTTGAGTAACTTTTAGGATTTCGTTATTTTCTCTTATTTCTTTTTCATCTTTATCCTTCAATGATATTATTATAGACTTTTCTTTGAGTTTGATCTTCAGCATTTCAGGCCTCGGTTCTTTTTTATTATATTTTCTACCTTGTTTTCATTATAGATCCTTAAATCTTCCCTTACTTCCTTCTTTATTTGTTTATTCAATTCTTTGAAACCATTGGTGTTTTGCTTTTCTTCGCTTAGAAATGCGAGTCTCTTTTCCGTCAACCGTTTTGTTCCATCAATGTTTATTTTTCGTTTTCTTTGCAACAGTCAGTCCTGCTTTCAAGAGATTTCGTTCTTGTTGATAGTGTTCTCTAAGTTCTCTAAAAATTCTTTTCTTAAGACTTCTCTGTATTCATCTCCCTTCTGTCGTGTTTATGTTGGAGTATTCTTGTTGATAATGTTTTACAAATTATTTTCTTAAGACTTCTTTGTATTCCTTTCACTTCTGTCGTAATTTTGTTTAATCTATCTGATTACAATAATTATGTGGCCTGTTTCTACTGGTTTTCGTCTGTTTAATATGAATCCTTGGTCTTAAAAGGCGATGATCGCTCCCAATTGTAAATCGATTGAGAGCAGTTATATCTTCAAAAAAAAAGCGGCGAAAAACTGACGACTGACATAAGCAATAACTTAATGCAAAATGGTAGGTTATGGGAAGTTGCTAAGTTGAAATAATACAGAAATTGTCAATGACAATAATAATATAGACTGTGTTAGACACTATGTAGTATTAAACATTTGCTGCATTTCCAGATCGTCTCCGGCATCTTGGACTTATAGTAACAGTAACATGCCTCAACATGTTTTTTCTGTAGATAGATACATACAGTGAACGTACAATTTTGTGGTCAGTATTGAAAAATTTAACAGGATATCTAACACATATAGAATAATATTTTCAGCGAATATACAACGACAACAATCATATTTCCCATTGGTCTCCCCTACACATTTCTAATAGACGCCCATTAGTGAGACGATTATTTCCGATCCAGCAAATACCTACCTAATAAACATCGGCAAGGTTGCCTTATTAGATATTTTAATTAAAACATTGAACTGATTAAAAAAATTGGCGATCAGTCGCGCCGTTATATGGCATTCAAAACTAAATGATAATATTAAAAACAAATTGACACAAATACTGGTACAAAATTTCTTAAATCCATGAAAAATTTATAGATTCACATTATTATTTGATGAAATTGTAACCTAATTTTTAATAAAACAAGATAATTTTGGCAATATCTCCATTTATTCTTCCTCTTCAACGGTAAACAGCGTTAAGAGACCAGTTTAACGGTATGCTATGTATTTTAGAGTTGAGTCATGTACGTTTTTATCGTTAAAGAAACTGACCCGTTCTTCAGAAACAAGTAACTTTGATTGTCAGTAGTTTTAAATAAGCGAGTACATAAACAAAAATATTGGCTATTATCTTTTATGTGTATATGTAAGCGTGAAAGCAACTAACGAAGGATATATTTATTAAAACTTGAAAAATAAATTAAACAACACAAATAGTAAATAGTACCTACATTTACATTACACATTATTCTTAAATCGCAAATCGTTTCAATTGACATTTACAAACATAAGTTTTTCCACTTTACTTGTTGTTAACCGTGATATTCTTCTATTTAAAATTAAACCAGATTTTAAACATGTCTTCATAAAGAAGAGATGATGCTACAATATTACAATATTATGAATATAGTGGTTATTAGGATATACATGGCGATGGTTTTTCTACCACTGTAATGGACAGTTCCAATCTCCCTTCGATTTTTTTTTAAGTAATATATCATCAGACAAATACATCGACTTCTTTTATAGCTCTTGATACAGGTGTAGGTTTAGATGAGTCATGTCCAATTAATTCATCAAAGATGCACCATGGACTTTATCGGTTTCTTATTCTTGTACTGGTTGATTTTCAATAGTATAATCTTTTTTTTATTAATTATAAAAGTAACCAGCTTACAAACTGTTTCATTTGTTTTTTACCTTCGTTTTTATCAGAAAATCCCTGCCTTTTAAATCGTGAATCCATAAATCTACATAATGACAATGTGCCACTCTGTTCTAGCCCTCTAAATCTTTCTGCTAAATCCGATTTTAGTAATTGTACTAGGCTGACATTGGCCCCGAAGGCAATGAATCAACAAATAATGGTAAAAGGCATAAGAATATAGAAAGCAAAGGGAAACCACTACATTAACGGCTCATAGAGCACCCCCAGGAAAATCACCATAGAATTGACACTGCAATTGCAAACCACTACTAATCATGGAAAGCGGAGGCCAATATTCGGCAGGATTGACCATTTGGGAACTTTGTTATGTTGTAATTGATACTTTAAAAGCCTTTATGAAGATAAGATACTTTTTTTGAAATGTATTTTTTTGCCGAAATGTCGAAAAAAAGACTTTTTATTTTATCTATTCGTACACGACAGCATTTAAGTCCGTCCTCCACCAATAAATTTAACGTATGAGCAAAACAATTTAAATGATTTCATTCCAAAACATCTTTAACAGCATTGACCATATTTGGGGCATTATCAGTTACTGCAAAATTTACTTTTCGTTTTAGAACCCACTGATTAATAATTTCAGCAATTTCAAAAGCGATGTTTTCTGAATTATGGTTTCCAAAAAAATGGTAGCAGCCTAATAAAACCATTTAAAATTCTAATTTTCGGTTAGATAATGTCCTGTTAATGCGATGTAACTCTCAGTTACTCCAGATGTCCAGAGGTCAGTGATAATGCAGATATTTTCTACTTCTTTAAGTACTTGTGCTCTAATAATTTGCTCAGTTTTGATATAAAATTCCTGAAATAAAGAACCTGACAAAGTTTTTCTTGTTTTTAGTTTATATACAGGTATCCACCTTGCCAACTTTTTAAAAGCTCTTTCTTCAACTACGGAAAACGGATAAAATAAGTCTTTGGATAGGTATAGTAAATCCATATCTATCTGTATCTTTTGTTCTAAACTAATCTTTTTATTAATGGAAGTATCCATCACCTTTTAAAGCTTGGTTGGCGGTGGCAGTATGTCAGTAACTGTAGTAGAAGTAGTCGGAACGGATAGCAATGCATCAGAAGAGGTTTCAATCATTGCAATATTTAGAAAGTGGAGCATTTAAGTTATGTCCTTCATTATAATAAATATATCTTTCATAAGTTTCTTTCACTTTAATACGTATACACATAAACGAAAATAGCCAATATGTTTGTATGTACTCTCTTACTTGAAACTACTGTTAAACAATCAACTAGGTGAATAATTTACCGTTACTTGTTTACGAAAAACGGTTCACCTCTACTTGTTACCACAGTATTAAAATTAAAGTTTCCTTACTTTGACACCGCGACGTTGCCAAATAATCTTGTATAAAGGTTTTTTATTATGGCGTCATAATGCAGTTTATTATTTTTATTGGGAATAAGGCACAATGTGACTTTAAATTAAGCTTATTTTTATGTTTAGATTTCTAATACGGAAATCGTACTTAAAATACGAAACATGAATAAAGTTTATTTATATAAAACGATTACCTAAGTGGAAATTAAAGTAAAATTGTGGCATATTCTCAATAAAAAACTGTAAGCTGTCATTTAAATCAATTCGCCCAAATTTGATTATCTTAGAACATTGTTTAAATGCTAAAAAGGCAACAAGTCAAATAAAACCAATAAGTTTGGCAACGTTGAACTTCCCCTCTTTTAATTATTTCCACTATTGCATTTTTGACGATACAAAGGGCAGGCCTCATATACCTCTCAATTCTCAATTCTCAATTCTCTCAATAATTCTCAAATACATAGTTGCTTTAACTTTTTATTGACAAAATAAATTAATATTAAATAGTATTCTTATACATCGGCGATTTCAGGAAACTTCATCCAATGCAAGTGATCTTTCTGATCGAGAATCTGAAGGTTGTAGATCACAAACATCTACAATAGGATCACAGAGTGATATAACAGATTCACAAAATTATACCGGATCTCTAGAAAAAGGTATACGAATTGAAAAAGAAGCAAAATCACCGATGATGGACATGTAAGCTACCTTATTAATAGTATTAAATGTTAAGTAAATTTAAACTTATATTACTATTAAATTTTAAAATAAGACTCTTAGTATAAAAATTTTATAACATTTTTTCTTTTAGTTTTCTAAAAGTTGGAAATAGTCCAAAATCAAACTTTTACGACGATAGATCGGCGAATAAGCAAGATGTTGGTTCTTGGAGACAAGCAATAATCAAAAGAGTAGCCACTGTAAAGCAGGATCCCTCTCGGAGATCTGATAGGAAAATGACAAAAGAAGAGCTACGAACGTTATGGAAGAAATCAATATATCAAGCTATTTTGTTAGTAAGAATGGAAAAGGAAAATGCAACAATTAGAGGTAAGTTGTCAGGAAAGCTTCTTTGTTCTCCTATCGGAGGTTTGCTATCATCACAGTTATCCGTACCTTATTGGCGGATGCTCTAAAAAGATCTACTGAGCTGTAATTATACCACTCTCTTAGGTCTCTGAGTCAGGAAATTCTTCGCCGTCTCATGGATCTTTTACTTTTGATTTTATCTTGCATTATGAGCCTTAATATCTCATATTTCGCCCCTCTGGTAATGTGGCCTAAATATTCAAACTTTCTTGTTTTGATGTGCTTTGTGACCTCGCAATCCTTTTGTAGCCTTCTTAACACTTCTGCATTTGTAACTCGTTGGGTCCATGGTATTTTCAAAATCCTTCTATAGCACCACATCTGAAATGATTCCAACTTCTTTATATTATCCGCTTTTAGTGTCCAGCTTTCCATTCCATACAACAAAATCGAGAACACGTAGCATATTAAGGCTCTTACCCTCAAATCCAGAGGAAGGTCTCTATTGAAAAACACTGTTTTCACTTTTATAAATGCTTGTCTTGCAATTTTAATGCGTGTCCTTATTTCTCTACCTTGGTCATTATTTCTATTTACCCAGGTTCCCAGATATTTATAGTTATTCGCTCTTTCTGCTTGTTTTCCCTCGATATCTAACCTTCCTACTGTATGTTGCTTAGAAATAATCATGAACTTGGTTTTCTTAACTTTTATTTGTAGACCATATTTGATACTAACTTGATGTAATCCATTTAGTAAGCATTGCAATGCTTCTAGACTGTCTGCAAAAAGAGCGTTGTCGTCTGCGAATCTTATGTTGTTTAAGTTATTTCCGTTTATTGATATACCCTGTTGTTCTTCTGATATTGCTTCCTTAAAAATAGCTTCGCTGTACAGATTGAATAACAATGGGGATAGCACACAACCCTGTCTAACACCTCTTTTGATTTCTATTGTTTCTGTATAGACATTTTCGATTCTAACCGTTGCTTTTTGATTCCAGTACAGATTGACAATAACTCGTATATCTAGACTATCCACATTCTTTTCTTTTAACAGTTTTACGAGTTTCTGATGTCGTACTCTACCAAAAGCCTTTTGATAATCTATAAAGCAGCCATAGAGATCCTGGTTCATATCTAGTCGTCAGGAAAGCTGAAACAGGACAGCGTAATTTACAAGACCATGTAAAACATCAAATATAATGCAATTCTAGTTAACTAATACATTTTTTAGAAGATGAAATAAAATGTGTGATAATGATGGCAAGTCGAATATTTCTAAAATATTTTATTTTGTATTGGGTGTGACATGTGCAATTTATCGTTTTCTCGTAAAACACCTCTTACGGAATATTTAGAAGTTGTATATCAAGAACAAGATACACTGAAATTATTCTTCGTTATTTTAATTCATATATGAGGGGATTTCAGTTAAATACATATACGAGGAGATTCCAATATATACCAAAGAATTTTGAACTGCTAGAGTAGATCACACTTAAGTTTCAGATTTATACATTGCAATAAGCCTAAATAAAACCGACGATACCAACGATAACAGTGCTCTTGAGCAGTCGAATGTAAATTTTGAGTTGAGCACAGAACGATGCAAAAAAAATATCGTCGAGATCAAACGAATCTCTGCAGAGAACTCCACCTAAAAATATAGAACCCCAACCGGGACCATCGAGATGTTATAAAACTAGGTTAATATAAAACTTCATCTAATAATGCCAATTTGAAATCAAGCCAGCGCGCTGATCCCCAGCCTGGAACGTCAGGACATGTTAAAACTTAGTCTTGCGTACCTATTAAATAGCTAGCTTTTTTTTTATTTACGCCCCTAAAACTCAATTAGAAATAAAACAATATAAGAGAAATCTTGAGAAAAAAGCTGAAGAGGTCAAAAAAAACTAAAACCATGGAAAAGAACGATAGAATCGTAGAAAAAAAAAGAAACAAAAAAAAGGTTAAATCTTTGTAAGTGAGTATATTTAAAAAACCCTTAAAAGGGCTACATCAAATTAACACGAACGTTTTTGGAATAATAATTCCATCATTAGGTTAAAAAGTCTAAAATAAGTATAAACCCTTTAATTAAAGCAAACGTGGTTTAAAATTTTGACTAAGGTTAAAAAAGCAAAATGGTTATACTTACAGGTTAACATGTCTGAGCCACCAAAATATTAGGGTAAAAACCCTTTAAAGTAAATAAGGCTACCAAAGATTGTACGTACATATTGTTGTTAATAATAATTGATGTTTAATATTTTATTATATTTTACTTCAGGTAACATACACACATGCCTTACGTGAGTACCAGCGTCCGGAGAGTAGACCTCTTCAAACGGACTTCAGCTGGTAACTGATTGACAAGATACCTATGAACGGTGTCGAAAACAAAATGTTAATGTACCATGAAACAGTGTTAGTTATACATAATATTACTACAGCCAAACGATTCAAGAACTTTGATGATGCTAAAAATGATAACAGCAATCCAGGTGTTGGGATTTAAAAAGTTTTTTAATTATTGAATTATGGATATAAAAGATATAAAATTACCGATGGAGGTAATGTTTAAAAGAATGACGTATGCATTAGGCAGCCTATGTTACTCTTTGTCGTATGGAGTGTGGTATAAAACGTGTAATTTGTGACTGATTAACTTAGATATATGATATTGTCCTTTATGTTGGTCACATCTAGGACAAGGTAAAATTGAGTTTTTTATATTTGTAGCTAATATAAGACCTTGTTTTTTAAATGAAATTGTTTAAGACTGCTCGTATGGTAAAAAGTTTAATATAAGTGGGTCTAATAAATTGAATAAGGGTTTAAAAATCTTTCGGTTGAAGAAATTAAAGTTATAACCTATAGAATTAAATTTAAAATGAGAAGGCTCCTCAGAGACTTGAAAAAAATAAAAGTAGACGAAATGACTAAAGAGGGAGGTAGGGAGGAGGAACTTTTAAGTAAACTACTGAATTAATCAACAAATTAGAAATAATAGAGCCTTCATGCTGAAAGCATCTAGCACCCTGAACAAAATCTATTTTAGTTGCATTAAATTCGGTATATAAAAACCTGAAATTTGATGGATGAGTGTGCTGCATGTGTGCTGTACTAAGTTGTTGACTAAGAGAGGGAAGCAATGGTTGAGTAAGGATTTTGGGAAAGGAGAAATAGTGAATTCTGATAAATTATTGGATTATGTTTAAATGATTACTGAGTTTAAAACTGAAATGACAGATAAATAATAAAAGAAAGTAGAATGGACAGGAACATGATGTAGATATGAAGAGTAGAGAAAAATATAAAATAGTGAGATATGATGGACGTGGATGGTTACGAAGTTAACAATAAGGTCGGAAAAATTGGGAGGGGGGTGTGACGATAGTGGAAAGAAACTGGTGGTTTAAAGAAACACAATTATTAAATAGAATTAAAGGTGTGGATGTTTATAGAAGAAGGTCAGGCAAAGAAGGTGGGGCAAATTGGGAAGTGTGGGCTATGAGAAGAGTTGTCGATGTAAGGGTTGAAAGTCACAGTGAAAAGATACATGACGATTAACGCAGTTGGGGCTTCTTTGCTTTTCTTTGACTATTTCCAAGTCTTCATACAGATCTTATTTTAGAAAAATTTTTTGAGGGATCTTATGTAACAAAGAGACGTCTTCTGGGATGTTGAGGGTATGTTTATGTTGTGTGAGATGTTGTGAGAAGGTGGAAGTGTTCTCTTTTTTAGTGTGTCCTAGGGAACGAAAGAGTTCAACATGAGAAGCTTTTAAGTATTCTTAAGACTAAAAACATTGATAGTAGAGATCTACAAATTATATCGAATCTGTATCAAAACCAGAAAGCAAGAGTAAGAGTCGAAGGAGAACTGACAGAGGAAGTAAGTATACTTAGAGGAGTTCGACAAGGGTGTATCCTTTCACCACTCTTATTCAACGTCTACAGTGAAGTGATTTTTCAAGAGGCTTTATTGGATATCGTGGAAGGTATTTATGTCAACGGAAATAGCATTAATAATATTAGATATGCCGACGATACTGTCATATTTGCAAGTGACATGGAAGATCTACAGTACATAATACAACATATATACAATGCATGTGAAAGTTACGGACTGCAAATGAATCTCAAGAAAACGAAATCAATGATATTCTCAAAATAACCACAAAATGTAAATAACCTAATCATCAATAATACAACGATAGAAAGAGTAAAAACATATAAATATTTAGGAACGTGGCTAACCGAAGATGGAGATTAAGTAAAGGAGATCAGATCTAGAATAGAAATGGCAAGAAACACGTTCATAAAATTGAAGAAATTACTTTGCAACCGTAACCTTAATCTAGAGATTCGCACAAGAATGCTACGTTGTTACGTCTTCTCTACTTTACTATATGGCATGAAAGCGTGGACAATAAAGCAGTCTGAAATCAAAAAATTAAACTCCTTTGAGATGTGGTGCTACAGGAGAATGCATAAAATATCGTGGATTGAAAAAGTAACTATTATAGAGGTGTTACGAATAATGAAGAAAGAATGTGAAGTCATAAAAACTGTTAAAATTAGAAAGATTCAATATCTGGGACATTTAATGAGGGGTGAGAAGTACGTATTACTGAGGTTGATTATGCAAGGGAAGATACAAGGGAAGAGAAACCCAGGACGACGCAAAATGTCCTGGCTAAGAAATTTGAGAGAGTGGTTCGGCTGCAGCTCATTAGAATTATTCAGAAATGCGGCCAACGAAGTTAAAATAGCGATGATGATTTCCAACCTCCGCTAGGAGAAGGAACCCGAAGAAGAAGAAGGGAACGAAAAGTTAGTGATCTACAGGTTCTACGTATATATGTAGCATCACAATCAGAGCACTGTAATTTGTAAACACCACTACGATCCATGTAGTTGATGGGATCTTTTGAATTAGTTAAACATTGTCCTAGATTGTTCAGGACTTTAAAAGATATGTGGGTATTTTACTTTACTTTTAATTAATAATATT